AAAATATTTTTTAGTTCGTCTCCAAGCAACAACAATAAAATATTTTTGTTTAGTTCGTCTCCAAGCAACAACAATAAAATATTTTTGTTTAGTTCGTCTCCAAGCAACAACAATAAAATATTTTTGTTTAGTTCGTCTCCAGCAAGAACAATAAAATGTTTTTGTTTACTTCGTCTCCAAGCAACAACAACAAAATATTTTTGTTTAGTTCGTCTCCAAGCAAGAACAATAAAATATTTTTGTTTAGTTCGTCTCCAGCAACTACAATAATATATTTTTGTTTACTTCGTCTCCAAGCAACTACATTAAAATATTTTTGTTTAGTTCGTCTCCAAGCAACTACAATAAAATATTTTTGTTTACTTCGATTCCTGTCACCGAACATGCTAGCCCTTCCAACCGTAGGGGCGTTATAATGTGATTGTTAATTCCACTTTTGGAAAAAGAGTAGCCCAAGAGTTGACGACAGGTTGTGTTGAGTAGCTGGCTTTCATCTATTCTATCAATTTTAAATTAGGGTTGACTAGCGCAGATGACCATCGAGTAGCTTAGAGCAAAATTCGATAAACAATCAAACGAAGCTCCTGTGATATTTCGATTTTTTAAAGGGTCTCACTTTGATTTGCCAACATTAGCGTGTTGTATAAAGAATTGAAGTTTTTACCGATTTTGTTAATTCTATAACTATTAAGTTGGATTAGTGTTTACCAGACATATGTTTTAACCAGGTATGTGTTTTTACCAGATGTAGGTTTTGAGTTTTAGTTTATTATTTTGTCGCATGAAAATTATTCTTCATCTAATATTTTTTTAGGGATTAATGAAAAGATTTAAGAGCCAAATCCAGTCTCCCAGTGGGTGAGTGGTAAAGTTATCAACTTATAATGCTAGAATCTGGGGTTTGATTCCCTGTGCAGATAGTCTATCGTGAAGCTTTGCATTAAAACATAAAAAAACCAGCCAAGAGCAAGAAAGACTTTTAAATGTTGAGCCTGTTTCTGAAAGTATATACCTTAAATTTACCACGCTAGATGGCGCTATAAATATAATTTGTATATTGTTAAATTTGTTTGTTTGTATGTATGTAGTTAAGCACAATGCTACAAAAGGGCTATATGTGCTCTGCCCACCACGGGTATGGAAACCCGGTTTCTAGCGTTGTAAGTCCGCAGACATACCGCTGTGCCACTGGGGGGGGGGTCGAAAGAGAAATTGAAACACATCATTTACACTACGTTTTCCTCCATCACTTTGCTTTCTTTGTTTCCTCAATATTCTGTAAAGTCTGTCCACGCTAGATTTTGTATTCAAAGGGTATTTCAAGTTGGTAAATCGCTGATTCCCACCGATGCGTTACATAGATAAGAATAATGACATCCTGCATTATTGAGAATTTATTATAATTCTCTGTTAATTTAAAAGAAATAGCGGGAGAGTAAAGCTCACTTGTAGATTAGATACGAAGAAGTTCGAGTTGTCTTAATCTTTGGAGATCAGAAGATAATCCGCTCAATACTGTATTGACAGTGGATTATCCATGAAACAGAATTTTATACTGTACAAGTTTTGAGATTAGAAGGAGGATTAAACCATCATTGAACTCTTAATAGTTGTTCTTATCTGAACTGTTTACATAGATTATAGTCAATTTCAGTTTGTAAGCCTAACTTTTATCTCATAACACTGTTAGATTAAGGACTAATTTCTATATAAACGTGTTCTGGATCTGTGATTATGCCATTTTTGTTTTTCATAAAAAAATATTAAAAACAACCCCTAATCTGTAAATATATTCAGCTGTAAGGTTGTCTTTTCTTGATCACCAGAGACAAGAATAAGACAAAAACTTTATTTTATTGGTTTTGTTTTACATTATATGACATTAACTTTGATCGTTCTACGATCATGGAAATGTTATAACTCTGTAAGTTAACTAACAATATATATATATATATATGTAATGTTATAACTCTGTAAGTTAACTAACAATATATATATATATATATGTAATGTTATAACTGTGTATGTTAACTAACAATATATATATATATATATGTAATGTTATAAATGTGTATGTTAACTGACAATATATATATATATATATGTAATGTTATAACTCTGTAAGTTAACTAACAATATATATATATATATAT